TGGGGGGAGGACACAGACTCGGCGGGGTATACAGACTCTGGGGGGGACACAGACTCGGCGGGGTATACAGACTCTGGGGGGGGACACAGACTCGGAGGGGACACAGATACAGGAAGGGTACATGTGACCAGTCCCTAGTAAGGGTGTCCTGATTCAAAGGAGCCACGCCAATGAGTCATCATTGTGGGAATTACAAGCAGGCGGTGTTGGTGTAGGAGGATTCCTTTTAATAATGACAAAACAGTTCCAGGTGTCCATGTTAAATTATGTTTCATTATGTATAATGAAATTTATGCCTGTTACTATTACGATGAGCACAGGACAGTGTCCTGTTAAGGAAAGCCACATCAGGGTTTGGAATGGCTGTGGATATACTTCAGACATTTTACCAAAGCTGTTTATCTGGAACACCTGCGTCACGCGGCCTGTTCCAGGTGCAGCCTGAGGGTTTCCTGAGGGTGCTACGTAAGTTCAACCTGCACCTGAGGTGGAAGCACCTGGGCCTCTTCCTGGCCAGATGCGGCCTGGAGGTCCAGAGGACTGGCATTGATTACCCAGAGTTCCTGAGGCGCTTCCAGGACCGGGGCGATGAGGGCGTCTTGCAGCGGATCCTGTCTGACCCGAAGCACAAGTGTGTTCTGTGTGTGGACTGCCGTACATTTACAGATATTTCCATCTTGCAGTCGTAGATGTTTACAGATGCATCTTAACTTGCAGAAATAGCTTATTCCACAGGCTAGAGAAGGCATTACAGCTCAGCATCAGTAATCTCCAGTAAACCGTTGATTATTCATTCCTTTCACGGTTTTAGGATGTTTAAGATCTAAGAATAAGGTATCGCTGTGAGAAAGCTGTAGCAATAATAATGATGACAATAATAATAAGAACTGTAGGGTTTCAGCACTGGACTAAAGATGTAGTGATTTATGTCATTTGGACAGCTAACCCATTTTAGTCAGTACCTGTGGAGGGTTAGACTGATCCTCTGATTGGTTCCTTTGCTGGCACGTTGAGCCCTAAGCTGCTGGGTGTCATATTCTCATTGGTCAGATTCCACAAGGGTGGTGGCACTGGTCATGCCTCCTCAGTGACAGTGGCCGAGGCCCGGCTGGCCCACCTTTTCCAGTCAGAGTACCTGGGGCTCCTGGAGGCCTTCAGGTATGTGGTCCCGCCCCCCACCCCCCGTGCCCCACCTTGCACTGACAGTCCCCGGGCAGCAGGTGGAGCAGCGTTTAAAGAGCTGCACTACTCATCATCCAGCTTTAGCAGTGGCTTCATCCAAAGTGTTCAAATATTTAAAAAAAACTAAATCAGTCTTTGATAACTGTTTATCTAGTCAGAACTATGGCGGTCCAGAGTTTGACCCAAAACGACAGGACAGAGTCTGAAGAAGGTGCCAGCCAATCCCAGTGTGCCCACACACCGAATACACACAGCCACACACACACATCAAAACACACAATCACACCAACCAAACGCAGTCACACACAACAAACCCACACAGTCACGCACACACACACATCAAAACACACAATCACACCAACGAAACGCATAGTCACACACAACAAACCCACACAGTCACGCACACACACACATCAAAACACACAATCACACCAACCAAACGCAGTCACACACAAGAAACCCACACAGCCACACACACACATCAAAACACACAATCACACCAACCAAACACATAGTTACACACAAGAAACCCACACAGTCACGCACACACACACACACACACACACACATGAAAACACACAATCACACCAACCAAATGCATAGTCAAACACAACAAACCCATACAGTCACGTACACAGCCACACACACACACAGACACACACCAAATGCAAACAGCCACCATGTGCAACATAACACACAGAGTCAAACACGCACATCATAACACACACACACAGTACAGATTACGGTGTTACTGATTTGTCACAGAAATATACAGCTTTCTCTCATTCTCTTCAGCTGTGGACCTATGATATGTTTTCCTTCCCCCATGTCATCCCATTGAATTAAAGTATTCGGACGAGGACTGCGGTTCTCCGCTAGATGTGGTTGCAGACAGTTCCCCTTTCAGCAGGATCTGTGTGTCGGCCATGAGCGCAGGGGTGACATCAGCTCTGGGGTAACATGGCTGGTTTTATCATGCTCCTCTGTGTTTTTAATTTTCAGGAGCCTAGACAAGTATGGCAAGAAGACAGTGAGCCAAGAGGAGTTTCGGGCAGTTTTGGAGAGCAGGTACCCGCCTTGGTGTCCCTCCTGCCAGTGTCCCTCATTCTGGTGTGTGCCCCCTGTGTGTCCCTCCCCTTGTTTCCTCTGCCCCTGTGTCTGTCCTGCTGGTGTCTCTCTTCCCTGAGTCCCTCCTCCTGGTGCCCCTTCTGCTGGTGTCCCTCTTCCCTGAGTCCCTCCTCCTGGTGTCCCTTCTGCTGGTGTCTCTCTTCCCTGTGTCCCTTTTACCGGCATTCCTCCCGCTGGTGTCCCTCTTGCCGTTGTCACTCCTCCTGGTGTACCTCTTCCCTGTGTCCCACCTGCCAGTGTCTCTCCTCCTGGTGTCTTTCCTGCTGATGTCCCTCTTGCGGGTGTTCCCCCTCCTGATGTCCCTCTTGCGGGTGTTCCTCCTCCTGATGTCCCTCTTGCGGGTGTTCCTCCTCCTGATGTCCCTCTTGCGGGTGTTCCTCCTCATGATGTCCCTCTTGTGGGTGTTCCTGCTCAGGATGTCCCTCCTCCTGGTGCCCCTCTTCTCTGTCTCCCTCCTCCTGCTGTCCTTTTTCCCTATGTCCCTCCTCCTGATGTCCCTCCTGGTATCACCCCTGGTGTCCCTCTTCCATGTGTCACTCCTTCTAATGTCCTTCTTGCCCACGTCCCTCCTCCTATTGTTCTTCCTGCCCGTGTCCCTCCTCCTGATGCCGGTGTCCCTTTTGATGTTGTTCCATGTGTCAGTGTCCCTCTTACTGGTGTGTCTTCAGTTGGTTTTATTTACTGTGTACTGTGTGACCATGGATATCTGTGTGTATAGCGATATAAGTTTTTGTGTATGTGTGTCGTGCAGTGGTGGGCAGAGCTAACTGAAAAGTTAGCTTTTTATAACCATTGGTCCACTAACTCTAAAGTTTAATTCAATAACGTTAAACCTAATAAACCACTAAACAATTTACTGAAAGCAAACGATAAGCGCTAACTGCTATTTTTTATTTTATGAATCATACTTAGAGATCTGAAATTCTAACCTGTTTAACAAGTTAGTTCTGCAGTCCCAGAGTAATTACCTGTGGATATGTAGGACTCTGTAGGATTCTGTCTGCAGAATAAGTTTTCTTTGAATGATATTCTTGGGGACTACAAACATGGCACCGTTTACCTGGAACTAGGAAGGACAGTCTCAGCTCTTTACTAATCTGTAACTCTTTCAATCAGGAAATAAATGGAAAATAGCCAGGGACTGAAGCAGGGGGGTATTCCATGAAAGTAGCTAAAGAGAGGCAGACTTTCCCAGACAAGCCAGACTCAAACTATCTCCATCTCTAAACTTAGCCTCGTGTTGTTCCACTAACGCAGTTCAGCTTTAACTAATCAAGGCTCATACAAGACAGACTTGCATAGTCTCACTTAAGAAGCCCAAATAAATGGATGAACGATAGATCGACCAAATGAGCCGGAAAGCGTGTAAAACGAGAGCGGTGTTTCTGTCCGAATAAACGCCGCTGATGGAGCTGTATGAAAAATACAAAGATGTAATCGTTAAAAAAAAAGGCAATACTGTGGCCATAAACACAGCCAGGGAGTTGGCTTGGCAATGAATTGCAGACAGACTAAATGGAGAAGTTGTAATGTAACAAGTGCTGGTGCCATTTTACAGTAAGGCTACCCATATAAAGGGTTATGAATGGTGTATTATCTGGTTATTAATTAGGTTGTAACACTGTAAATTATTAATAGACAGTTATAAACAAGTTATAACACAGTTTTCTTTTTATTAATGAGTTACTACCATTTACAAGGCAAATGGGAGCCTTATTGTAAAGTGGTGCCCAAGTGCTTAGTACAGTGGTACGGTGGTACAGTGGTTTATGCCGTCACCTTACCCCGCAAAAGTTCCTGGTTCGATCCCTATAGCCAATGGGGAACCTTCTGGGTTACTTTCACGTGTCATTCTTATGGTATAATGTTATTCTGTATTATTTGAACTCTGTAAAATACTTTCAATCGCATTCGTGTGAAATGTCCTGCACAAATAACTGTCTTGTCTTTGCTTTTTACTAACAAACTTTCAAAGTAGACAGTGACCAAGCAAAATATAAAAATATCTTCCTGTTCGTATTGTTTTAATTGATTTTTTTTTTTATTTCAGTCATTGCATTTCCTTTGTATTATGGGTACGCTTTTATTATAATTATTTTGAAATTCATTGGAATGCTGACACGTGATTTTTTTTATAGCCTTTATTATATGTATTACATGACATGAGTAGTGAAATTTCCTCTGACGGAACGATCTTATGGGTATCAGTTCCCACATGTCCGACGTTCTTAGAGACAACGCTTAACTAAGCGAGACATCTAACCTGGTCCGGAGCAGACTTGTTCACTCGCCTGTTACCATCATAGCTCAGCGGGGATTCATTGAAGACACGTTGATAGAATGGAATTCCCACTTAAATGCGCCAGACTTGTCAAAATAAGTCAGACTTTCCCTTAATCCTGCTTTGTGGAACTCCCCCCTGGACTTGTTGTTAAGCCGAATGACGTGTCATATTTAAGGTAGCCTGGGCTAAATGTTAGTGAACAAAAATAAAGTCCATTTAAACTGGGGTACCGGAAATCAGAAAAGTTTCATGATACAGACCCCTGGTCTCCGCTTAGTTCAGGGTACCCCAGTGTAATTGGACTTTATCTTCGTTCACTTGCATTCAGCCCAGACTACCTTAAATTTAACAAGTTAATTCACGCCTTGTGTTTACACGCAGTCAGCCAACAGGCTGTTACAGACTCGCTAACAACAGAACAGAACGAATATGTGTGATTTTAGGATTTACAAACACCATTAAACACTTTACCTGTGAGAAAATGTTAGTGGATTTACGGTTAGTGGAACTAAATTTAGAGGAAGCTATATGGTCCGCTAAGGCTTTTTGAAGTTAACACAAGTGCTAATCCACTAATGAAAAAGTTCGCTAATTACCAGTTAGCAGATTAGCGGATCCCTACCCACCACTGGTGTCGTGTCAGTGTGTGACTGCGTGCTGTGCGGGTTACGGTAAGTCTGTGTATCTGTGTGCCTTTGGGGTCAATCCCTTGATTGAGAGGTAAAGCAGCTCGTCATCTCACACCAATGGTCAGTGAGGGCCTGGTTCACCTCTGACCCTGCCATGTGGGGCCTTGTCGCTTTGCCCCCCCACCAGGCTCTGACAGAAGGTCAATGGGCAGCGTATGCTGACAGCCCCCCACCCCCCAGGCCTTGAGGCCCTTACCCTGCACACCCCCTTCCAGGTTTCAGCTGGTGATGACCGACCCCCAGTTTGAACAGCTGCTGGACAGCCTGCCCCTGGACGAGGACGGAAATGTCCAGTACGCCCTCTTCATGGCCCCCTTCGACACACGGTAATCCCCCCCCCCCCTGCCGGCTCTTGTTCCATTTCAGGGAGTTGCTGTTCTTTCAGCCTCCTGCTCTGCTCCTCACGCGCTGGACAGGAGGCTGTCCTCCTTCCCATGATGCTCTGGGGTCATTTAATCTAACTTGCTAGTGGAAATACCCATTATTTATGCAAAGGATGCTCTGACCACCCCGCCACCTGAAAAAGACCTCCCTGCCCTTAAATATGTGATGCAGTCTGTCTGCTGCTGTCATATCCATCCTGGAACGTGTTCTCCACAACAGCAGGCTTACAGCTCACACACCCGTGAAAATGGACGCCTACTTCATGATAGTGATTTACCAGTTTGGGTAATGCTTCACATTAACTGCACCTTCATAATGCTCTTTATAATGCATTCATAGAGCATTCGTAAGCAGCTCATAAGTTATACCTTAACGTCCTAACATAGTTTAACAGCTTTAATATACATTTATAACAAACATCACAGCCTCTCCCCAGGTTACAATGGGGTTACATTCCAATAAGCCTGTTGTAAGATGAAAATGCATTTTAATACAGTAACCTAACCTCACAGACATCATAGCTTGGCCAAGCCTACTTTTCACGTGCTTAGAACACATACATTAGCCTACAGTCGGGCAAAATCATTAACACAAAGCCCATTTTATAATAAACTGTTGAATATCTCATGTAATTTATTAAATTATATACTGAAAGAGAAAAACATTTACTCATCGCAAAGTTGAAATATCATAACCCAGGGAGTGTCTGTATATGATTATACAATTATAATGTTTGTTATGATCATAGGTTGTTTGTTATCAATGTATATTAAAGTAGTTAATATATGTTATGATGTTAAGGTATACTTACAGGTGTCACGCCCGGCTCGTCCGATCCTCGTGTGTGCCACGCCCCCCTCGTTACCTTGTGTTAATTCCTGATTGTCATCACCTGTTGCCTGTTATTTCGGCTTGTTTCATGTATATTAGTCCACGTCTTCCTTAGTTGGGTGTCCGTCATTGATGTTAGTTCGTCGCCGTCTGCCCCGTGTTTCCCTGAATAAACCCGTTGCCTGTGGATTCTCTCCTTCGTGCCTCGTCTTTCCCCGCGATCATAACAACAGGCTGCTTGTGCATGCATTATGAAGGTGCACAGAATGTTCTATGAATGCATTATGAAGGTGCACTGAATATTTTATGAATGCATTATAAAGCTGCACTGAATGTTCTATGAATGCATTATGAAGGTGCACTGAATGTTCTATGAATGCATTATGAAGGTGCACTGAATGTTCTATGAATGCATTATGAAGGTGCACTGAATGTTCTATGAATGCATTATAAAGGCATTATGAAGGTGAACCCAAATTTGCAGAAAACTAAATGTACAAACTAAAGAAAGTAACAGAGAAACTCATAGCGTGTGAGCTTCCTTGTGTTGTTTTATATTAGCAGCCACAGCTCTTCACAGCGTGGTTACTGCCCTAATTATTATGGTTATTATTCTAATCATTCTTGCTATTATCACCCTGGCTGTTACCCTCAAAGCCCTGCTTCTGTCAGCCCAGTTAGCTCCCTCTCTATCCCCAACCGCATTACTTTCACAAAGCGCTTATTTTCTCCCAGGGTTAGTTTATGAATGGCCCACAAATCCAGTGGCTGTGTAAACCTTTCTCAGTCAGCTACAGGGTAATGAATTTTAAAGGGCTTCTGTAACGACTGGCCCGGCCTGTGTGTGTGGCTGTGCCTGTTTGTGTGTTTATCTGTGGCTGAGTGTGGCCAGGACAGGCCGGGTGGCTGGGTGGGTGAGTGTCAGTCTCAGTGTGCACAGGGGATAAAGACCTAGAGAAGCAGGCTGGCTTAGCTGACAGGTGACAAGGGTTACTCTGAATGGGGATTTTGTAATAGCAACAGGGAGGAAAGCGCAGCCACCAAGGCTCGTGAAAGGGGAGAATGGGCAACACCGGGGACTTAGCATTGCGCTAATCAAACTGTTCTGCTGTCTAGGTTTGAAAAAAGAAGGAAACAGTGAGACCCTAAACCAGCCTCAATTGCAGCACCCCCTGTGTCAGTCGGGGGGGGGGGGGGGGGGCGCATTGTGGCCTCTGCCCCCCCTCCACCGACATTGACATATTAGTCAAAAGGTCTCCAGCTATCTTGGAACACCTCTCTGACGGACACTGTCACATGGACCAGATTCTGCTTCACTTTCGTTTATTTCGGGGAAAATTCCCAGCAAAGGCATGTAATTCCCCCCCCCCCCCCCCAGTTGATGGTCGTGAAAATGAGCAAATTCCCTCTTGGGGCTGGAGGGGGTTGGGTGGCGGCTGGGTGCTCTGTGCCTTTGAGCCAGCAGGCCCATCGACAATGTGGTCATTATGGGTGCACATTTTTAGAGCTGTGCTACGGTGTAATGCCTCAGATACGGGGCAGCTGGGTGGGGGGGCCGTTGTTTTGGAGGTTAACCACCCCAATGTCTTCCATCTCTCCCACTCTGGCCTCTCTTCCCTTAGAATCTGACTAGGACCGGCGTGGCCGGTGGGTGTCATCCTTCTGTGGTGCCTGTGTGGTCCCGGCGTGGGTCGGCCTGGGGGTATCTGAGCACGCCGCCCTGGGGAGGGGGGGGGGAGTCTGCAGGGCCGGTGCTGGTGCTCTCACAGATCACTGTGGGAACCCAGGGGGGCATCTTTGGCTGATCTGCCACCCACCGCCGTCCATTTTAATTTCTCATTCATTGCCGGCGTGGGCGGAGAGACAGTAACGGCAGAGACACCCCAATCACAAGTGGCTGTGCGGTGGACCTCCCCCCCGACAATGGCGGCAGTGTCGCCGTGGCCCGGCCGCGGACTTTCCTGGATATTCTTCCCATGTCGGTTTAATCACTACTGGGCGGTAGCTCCATTAAGGATTACCATATCATTAATAGTATCCATGACTTTTGTTCAAAGGGCTACTTGTGTAATGTTGCCTTGTGGATGTGCTGGCTAATCCGCTCAGCGCAGCTGTAAGGGGGGGCGAGCGCAGGAGAATCCCAGNGGGGGGGGGGATCAGCTCCTTGGAAAACAGATACAAACAACAGTCAACTCAAAACCGGCCCCCCAGCACCCAAACCAACACAACGCTGAAAAAAAAACATCCATTCTACACTTCCATGTTTATCCGTGGCTCCCCCTCAGCCCTGTCTGTCCAGCCCTGGCCAACGTCTTCCCCATTCATGGGGGCTTTCCTTGCCATCAGCACCCCCCCCCCAGACGTTCGGCAGATTAGTGGACAACAATACAGTTTTCAATGTAAAAATAGAAAAATATAATGAGCACCTATTAACTTTGCTCTGTCCACCCAGCCTACTTTCATTTGACTGGGTCTTTTTCCAGTCCTGTTTGTTGCTGGTTTTTGTTATTTTTTGCTGGGGGTGCAGTTGTTAAAAAAAAAAACAGAAAATGTGACTCAATCAGTCGCCTGAATACCATTGATGCTTCTGGAGGGAGCTCCAAATGGAATCGGCAGATCCAGAACCATATGGACATCCATGCCCCAAATACCCGGCCCCAGTGACCGGCCAGAATCCCACTATGATCCAGAGGACACGGCACCTAGTTCTGGGATTTTCCACTGGCCTGTCTTCGGCTGCGGCCCGGCCCGTCTTCTCCAGCTGGCCGCTTCCCCAGACTCTCCCCTTAAAATAAATATTTAGAGTGGGGGGCGTGGTGAAGGCAGGCCTGCTCAGTGAACCAGAATCCTCGCGGTAAGCCGGCGGGGCCCGACGCGGCTGGCAGCTCACCGGTGTCTCCTGGGAGCCCCTGGCGAGGGCACCAGGCAGCCAGAGAGGTGGCACCTGTTTGAACAAAGGTGTCATTATGTTTGTCCTGTTATCATTAAAATAATATGACAAAAAGACCCAAGACGACTAGATGCATTTCAGCCAAACGGCAGCTGCTGACCTGCATTAGACGGAATATGATATGTTTTGTATTGTCAGCGAGGTGTTTTGACCAAAAGTAAAAGTACAGCCCTCTTATAGCATTGTGTGCTGAGAAGCCCTTGGGATTGACACACTTAGATGTTTCCTGCTCTCCAGAGTCCTAGGTTCGAAAGGTTCATTTTGACCTTATTTTCGGGACTGTTGCCGTTGGACTGGTGGTGGCCTAGCCTTTGTTGCGTGTCGCATTGTAGAGCTCTGTGCTGGAGCGCCATTGAGGGAGCAGCCTGATCTGATTGGGCCGGCTTAGCGATTGTGACAGTGGCCCCGCCTGCCGCCTTTCCCGTTGTGTGTGTCACCGGAACTTTGACCTCGTCCGCCATACACGGGAGGAATCTCAAAATGCTTCCATGGAAAGCGGGCCGGCCTGGAGCCCTGCCCCCACCCCGTTTGGGCTGGCAGCGCAAAACCCAATCCCGGGCCGCTACACATCCCCTGAGTTATGTGCGTATCAGCTGGGTGGGGCGGGGCTGGCAGTGTGGGGGCGGGGTAGGCCTCAGTGAGGTGGGCCAATTAGCTGGGCGGCCCGGTTCTGGACCTCTTGTCAGTCCACCTTAAATCTCCCCCTGTCTGATCCCTTTCACTTCCCTCCACTGACGCGTTGCTCTTCGGGGGAGTCAGCCCCTTTAGAGCCCCCCCCCCCCACAAAAAGCGTTAATCCAGCCCCCCCCGCGGCCCCCTGGTTTTTTTGGGTTTTTTTTACAAAGGTTTTTTTTTTTTTTTTTTTTTTT